CTTCATAATTAATTTAAAGTGTAATTGAATACACATTTGAGTATTTAGGTTAGATCCCCCACACCACAGACTCTCCAGATTCCTCTTGTTCAGTTGTTGATACGTACATCTCTTTCAGCCATTAATAAATTATTGACAGATGACTTGGTCAAGTTGCCAACTTAACTGTAAAACAGTACACCTGAGGTGGTGAGAGGGAAAACTTAATTTCATTGTCCATTAGTGTTTCACATTATTCGAGCCAAGGACTGAATACTTTGACTTAAGATCTAACAAGTGCCGTATGTACACCATCAACAAATAACAAGAAGCAGCAAGATGTTTTTTTTTATTCTCTAGAAGGAGGAGGTGAACAGGATTTTAGAAAAGATAAATCGATAATAATTATGACTTGATTTTGACTGTTATTCTCATTTCATTTTTATTTTTTGTTTTGTTTTTGGACTTTGTTTTGTTTTGCTTCCATCGAGTTATGCTCATTATATTCTCTTGCATTCATCAAGTGAATGGTATTTTTATCGAATTATCATTTAGAAAGTAATATGTCAAATAAAAACAAAAAACAAAAAATTGATCAAAGTATCTTCTTCAGTGGAGGAAGTTAACCAGATAATTTTACGCGCACACAGCAATTTAATCATTGCAATGTAAGTAACAGTCTATGAATCCTCTGTTGCATGCGGTTGAGCAGAAAAGACAACTAACTAAAATAATACAGAAACAAAACAAATGAACAATTTGAAAAAAAAAAAATCCTCATCATGCATGATTTCACTCAATGAAAGAAAGGTATTTAAAAGTTATATACTTTTTTTCAGCACAAACATCTTTCCTTCCATAGAGATTATGAAAAATTATATATCAGTTTCAATATATTACTGATAATACACATACAAGAATGGGAGAATATGATATATAAATTCTTTATACCCAGACTAAAGTTGGGTAATTGAACGACAAAATGGAAAAAAATCCTGTTCTTCAAAAGTTTCTTTAGACTAAATAATATTTTTATTGATGGAATTATATAGTTTTCACCCAATATTTAACTTTAACCAGAATTTTTTTTTATATTTCTATTCCCTCCCTGATTCCATCAATAAAAACATTATTTAATCTGAAGAAGTCCTTTTGAAGGATGAAACATGTTACATATGATTTTTCCATTTTGGCATTCAGTTATTTCTACAAGAACAAAATAGAGTACTTTTAATTAATAATTAACACCTAATTAATTAATTCCTGTTCTTCTATTGTTTTCTCTCCTTAATAATGTTTTTCATTTTCTCATATTCTCTCACACTCAGTAACCCCCTTGTGTCTTAGTGGCTTTATTGCCTTGGTTGGGGTGAAATGATTAAAAAAATTATTTCCATATATCAGAACCAATGTTAGAAACAAAAAGATGAAACTAAAATTTTTAAAAAATTTGAATATTTTTTGGTGGGGAGGGGAAGACTTTAAACATATTTTTTAACATTAGAATTAACAAGTTCACTGCTTGTCAACGTTACCTATCATATATTTTTGCACCAAGAATCTAGTGAATGCAACATGAAATCTTGGACTGATTCTCAATATAATAGATTATCCAATGTTATCAAAAAGAAAGAAATCCCCAGAATCGAAATGTTTTCTCTTTCCTAAATAAAAGCATCACAACAAAACCACATTTCCGCTTATTACAGTACAAATTTAAATTGTAGAAGCAGTTTATTTTTAGCTACTGTTTTTTTCATCATAGTTGAGAATGTTTTCATATGAGATAGCTTCAACAGAATACAGTTCCACTTTAGAAGCATGTCTTTTAACTCAGTTAATGTTTGATAGTTAAATCTAGATTCATTTGATACGTCTTTTAGATTAAATTAATTAAGCTCTAGTCTTATGATATGTTTTACTAACATAGTAAATAAAAAGGAAAATTAATTTGAAACCAATTAATATTCATGCTGACCAAAAACGTATTAATATCGACATTATTCAACATGGCACTGACCTATTACTGGCCACATAGAGTCAAAATAATGTCAGAAAAAATTGCTTCTAAATCTATTAAAATTAATGCCATCTAGAAAGTATTAATACAAGAAAAAATTGCTTCCAAATCCATTAAAATTCATACTATTTAAAAAGTATTAAAATATACATTGTCCAACATGGCACTGGCCTATTATTGACTACATTGTAAAAACAAATAAACAGAGCCAAAATAATGTATAAATATATTACTTTCGAATCTATTAAAATTAATGCAGTCTACAAAGTATTAATATATTAATACTAGAAGAACATTGCTTCCAAACCTATTAAAATTAACATCGTAAACAAACAATTAATAAATTAATAGAAGAAAAAATTGCTTACAAATTTATTAAAATTAATATTAAAATGCTGTCTACAAATGCTGGCTACAAAACAAATACAAGAAAAAATTGCTTCCAAACTCATTAAAATTCATGCTTTCAAAAAAATATTAATATATACATCATTCAACATTGCACTGACCTATTACTAACCACATTGTAAAAGCAATAAAGCCAAAATAATGCAAGAAATATTGTTTCCAAATCTATGAAAATTAATGCCCTCTAGAAAGTATTAATACAAAAAATACTTCCAAATCCATTAAAATTTATGCCATCTACAAAGTATTAATAGATAAAAGAATTGCTTCCAAACCCATTAAAATTCATACTTTCCAAAAAGTATTAATATATAAATTGTAAAAACAATAGAGCCAAAATAATGTAAGAAAAATCTTTCCAAATCTATTAAAATACATGTCATCTACAAATTAATAGAAAAAAATTGCTTCCAAATCTATTAAAATTTATGTCATCTATAAATTAATAGAAAAAATTGCTTCCAAATCTATTAAAATTCATGTCATCTACAAATTAATAGGAAAAAAATTGCTTCCAAATCTATTGAAATTCATGTCACCTACAAATTAAGAAAAAAAAATTGCTTCCAAATGCATTAATATTCATGCTGACCAAATAGTATAAATATCTTCATTGTTCAACATGTCACTGGCCTAATTCTGACCACACTATAAAAACAAGTAAATGGAGCCAAAATATATAAGAGTGAAGAGTGAACAAGAAAAAAAGACTTATGTATTAACTGCTGAATATGTTGCTACATCTTTTCATATAAGACTTCATAACTGAGAAAGAAAGATGATTTTAATTAAGGTCTAGCGATAATGTTAAAATAAAAATGCCCGAAACTGACTAAGGAACTGCATTGTATTTTTTTCAAGCAAAAAAATAAACTAAACTAAAATGAAAAAGTATACTGCTCTGAAACACAGCCAAGAGTAAACTGGCCTTTCCAACCAAAAAAGAAGAAAAAGGAAAGGAAAAATTCTATTCACTCAAAACTGTAATGATAATATTCAAGTGACGTTTACTGACAAAAAATACCAAATTAAAAATATAAAACAAAACGTCCTTTCAGGCATCACTTTACTTATTAGATGGCTGCTATTCAGTTAACACGAAGAATATTACATTCATTTTCTAGAATGGAGAATGCGGCATTTTTTTCTTTTGTTCATACTAATATATAAACTGGTGGACTTGCAATTAGAGCAACAGACAGGTTGGTAATATCTTGTGTTACCATAGACTCTGAGAAACAGAAGATTTTTATACTTTTGAGAATTTAATAAAACCAACATTAAGAAACAGGATAATTTCATTAGAAACAAAGAAAAGTGTACTGAACTCTTATGTAATATCTGTTCTATATTGCAGTAAATGATGAACAATCTCTACACAGATGAAGATGAGATTTAAAGCAATAAAAAAGTGACTCTACAGAAGGATGCTGAGAACACCATGGACAGAACATGTGAGCAATGACAAAGTTTTAGGGAAAATGCAAAAAAAAGGACAATTATATGTGGCATCAAAAAGAGATAATTATAATTTCTGGGGCACATGAGGAAAGAAAGCTTAGAAAATGTGGCACTCATAGGACATAATGAAGGCAAGAGGAGCAGAGAAAAGTAGCAAATAACCTACCTAACAAGCTTGTTTAAATGGTTGGTAAAACAGAAATTACTTCACAGATGAAAAGGGGACATAAGACAACAGAATTGTGACTCTACAGAAGGATGCTGAGAATACCATGGACTGAACATGTGAGCAATGACAAAGTTTTAGAGAAAATGCAAGCAAAAAAGACCTTTATAGCTAGAATCAGAAAGAGAGAACAAATTTTCAGTATCTGTCTATATTTCTGAGATGAGGTATTAGGTATACTATTTACATTATTCAGACTATTGTCCTCATCTTTGTTGTCATATTTATCACAACGTTTTGGCCTTAAGGACACATGGCACAGTGGATAAAGGCATTGGTTAGATCCAGTGAAAGGACTCAAAGAGTTGTGAGTTCAATACCTGGTTAAAGCAGTGGAGAACTTGGAGAAGTTAATTTAGAGGAGATAACTAATAACTGACATCCATTAGACATGGCACATGGAACTAAAATGGTCTACTCCAGTGAGCGAAATAAAGGGTTCAGTTCAACATTCCAATCACCTGAAGAAGGCCAGAGCATACAACAACTGAAACGTTGTGATAAATATGGCAACAAAGATGAGGACAATAGTCTGAATGATGTAAATAGAGAACAAATTTTTTCAGGTACATAATGAGAAAAGAAGGCATGGAGAATTTGACACTTAAAGAACATTTTGATAACAAGACTGAATTATTTGTTTTTTTACAGCAAATAAACCTTTTGCAGGTTATTTAAAGCCAGAAATTATTTTTATATTGTAAGAATTTTTGGGAGATAAGGATTTATTGATACAAGTCCAACTAATTAACCCACAGCTAGCGGGGAGGAGAGAATGGGTGGATTCATGCCTTTCCCAGGGGTATATATGAGTAAGTGAATATAATGACACCAATGGGAACTGAAACACAGCTCTACGATTAACAATTCCAAGCCATTATCCATTAAACCACTCACACATCCAAGCTTACAGCACCTGGTATTCACAACCGGTCACCAATCTAGGTACTGATAAGGCTCAATGTTGCTTAACTTTAGTGGTTGTACAAGAACTGGTGTTTCAACATGAAATAACCTCAAGCCTTTAAAGGCAAATGAGACAGAGGAAAACAGTCGATAGCCTAGTTAACTATCTTATGTAAATGGTTGGCAGAACAGGGATAAGGGGAGCTAATAAAAAGATAAAATTTAATAAGAGCTACAAAGGAAGGCAGGAAATTATGGAAAGTCATAAAGCCCATGTCCTGAAAGGACACAATACTTAGAAGGAATTTGTGTAAGTGATTGGCAGAACAGGGATTAGGGGAGTTAATAAAAAGATAAAATTTAATAAGAGCTACAAAGGACAAGAAATTGGGGAGAGCCATAATTGCCCATGTTCTGAAAGGACACAATACATAGAAGAAGGAGTTTATGTAAATGATTGGCAAAACAGGGATTAGGAGAGATAGCAAAAAGATAAAATTTAATAAGAGCTACAAAAAGGACAGGGAAATTAGGGAGAGCCATAATTGCCCATGTTCTGAAAGGACACAATACATAGAAGAAGGAGCCAAATGATTGGCAAAACAGGGATTAGGAGAGATAGTAAAAGTTACAAAGGACAGGAAAAAGGCCATAATTGCCCATGTTCTGAAAGGACACAATACATAGAAGGAGTTTATGTAAATGATTGGCAAAACAGGGATTAGGAGAGATAGCAAAAAGATAAAATTTAATAAGAGCTACAAAGGACAGGAAATTAGGGAGAGCCATGTTCTGAAAGGACACAATACATAGAAGAAGGAGTTTATGTAAATGGTTGGCAGAACAGGGATTAGGAGTGATAGCAAAAAAAAAGAACACTGCAAAGAACCATGTAGGAAGTTATGGAGAGCCATAATTGCCCATGTTCTGAAAGGACATGCTACACAGAAGAAGAACTTTAATTTCACATTTGATGTGATTAGGTTATGTGTTCTAAAAGAAGTTATCTCACGTAGCACGGCTGTGTATATCTATGATTTATCTAACCCTTTTTCGACAGTCTGTTTAGATATGTGTGATCAAACACATGTGTTTGTTTACAACTAAATCTAATAATACCAGTTGGTTGTAGTAAGGCAGACAATATTAAATCAGTCCAAGCAACATGGCTACTTCTTTGTACAGATTGAATGCTTTGAAATTAGCAATTTATTTTGTGGATTTTCATCAACAGATTATTGAATTTTGATACCATGTCAGCCAAATAAACATGTACAAAACGTCAGAAAGACATTCAGGCCATTCTGGAATCTGATGACAAAATTTGAAATGGAGATATAGATTCATTCAAATCTAAGGATGACTTTGAATTTGACAGTATTGAAAGGTAGCTAATCCCATATATATATATATATATATATATATATATATGAAGAAAAATATATGGAAAAACCAAACAAAAATCCTAATATGCAGTTATGCTGTTTTAATGTTAATATAATGTCAATGTCGGACGTTTTGGTCTAATAGACCATCTTCAGGACATATTCATAAAACATAATTAACATAGACCATATTCAATTCAACATGAAAAGTCGATGGACATTGACAAGATTAAATTAAAAAACAGCATAACTGCATATTAGGGATTTTGTTTTTTTTTTCATTATATTTTTCTTCATACTGTCGGATCTATATTCATATATTTGCTTACATATATATATATATATATATATATATATATATATATATTGTGTATACTGGAGACACAGTGGAGCAATGAATAGTAGCTCAAACTGAGGAATCAGAGAGCTGAGTTCAAATTCCAATCTAGTTAACTGCAGTCATTTATGTCTTAATACCCTTGGGAAAGGTATGAATCCAACTCTTACAAAATATACAATTTTGTAAGGAACTTTTTTTTTTAGGTTGGGGTATACTATTATTAGAAGGCACGGTGGAGTAATGGATGGCAGCTCGGATTGAGCAATCAGAAAGCCAAGTTCAAATTCCAGTCGAGTATGCTGTATTCACTTTTGTGGAAATACTCTTGGGAAAAGTATGAATCTATCTCTTCTTCCCCCACCCCCACCAGGTATGGGTAAATAGAAGGATAGACAGAGATGACAGCTGGTCTAGGCTAGGCTAAGAAGAATGGATGGTTATCTGGTGGTAATGTCTGAGGGCGACTAATACCATATTGAGCGGTTTTTGGCTTTCGGTTTTCTTCAGGTTAAAATGAAAGACAAAACTGAATGTAAGGAAAAATGTATTGAGATGTCTAAGGATAAAAGGGAGCCATAAATCAAATTAAATTATCACATCTGATGACCACACACCAGAACACACACACATATATATATATATATATATATATATATATATATATATATATATCATCCACAGACTGTTTCACTGTATTACAGCTCATCAGTGTGACTAGACATACAATTGTTTCAAGCCAGATCAAAACTCAACCAATTTGACATCAGTCAGAGACCCTTAAGACACACAACAGAGAAAGGGAATTTTTTAATGGATTATATGTGATATATAAATTCCATACCAGCCACTACAGTGCTCAATTCTTATGAAGTGCAATGCATTTATATATATATATATATATATATATATATAAATGCATCACAATAGAATTGAGCACTATAGTGGCTGGTATAGCATTTGATATATATATATCAAAATCACAGATGCCTGGTGGATTTTAAATCAGTCCATCTAAACCAGAGAGTATGTGTCATCTATCTATCTATCTATCTATCTATCTATCTATCTACCTGCACACACATACATACATCTACACAGGCATATACATATATTAGAGCCTTTTTATATATATTTATAAAATTCTTTTTCCAGATTATCTCATTATTTTTAGATACATCCTAAAAACACATACACACACATATATGCACACACACACACACACACACACACACATATATATAAGGAAAACTGTCTTATTAGCCGACACGTTTCGTCCAATTTTCAAGGCAAAAACGAAATGAATTTATTAAAATCAAATTAACAACAAAAAAAATGTCCTTAGCAACTAGAAGAATTTAGAAAAAGTTATTGTATTCATATTGTCAACTGAAAATTATGTCAGGTCCTTTCACGTGTAGAAATAGCTTTTATATTTGTATTGATTATATTATCTTTTGATTTCGTGATATAGTTGTGTACATTGGCTTGGGAGAGTAGTGATTCTGTTAGGAAAGGTGATAATGGGAAAAACCTAGGCAGAGATAAATATAATAATATTCAATGGTGGCACTCTCAAGGATTTTCCTTCTGAGTAAGTCATTTTCTTTTTTTATGAGTGTAGCATTTTTAAAATCAAAATTGTGATTGAATTTATTTCTTTGTATGACTAGTGCATTAGTTAAGTTGTTTTTTGTGAGGTCTTTTTTGTACTCATAGATGTGTTTTTTAAATTTCTGCTTTTTTTTAAATTAAATATATATATATATATATATATATATATATATATATATATATATATAAAGCATATAAATTAATCCCAAACTAAAATAATTTAAATATGAATTTGCATAAAAAAGAATTTCAAGAACATCATTTACTCACTTTCATTTATTAGACATTGATTTGTGTCACTTGGCATCTTCCATAGCTTGATTAGAACTTTCAGCTAATCTGATGAATATTTATGAGAGTTCTTCAATTTTAAAAGTTTACAAAAATGAATTTGCTCTTGTATATAAATACTTGTTACAAAATCAAATCCTTGCATTTGCCTTGATAAAGTTCCTCAGAAGACAAAACACATTGGCTAAGATAAGTTTTCCTTTTGTTTTTATTCATATATATATATATATATATATATATATATATATATATATATATATATATATATATAAATATAGGTAACAAGAGAACAGACTTTGGAAGTTATGAACTACCAAACTGAATAGAACAGATGGCAACATGAAAACAAGGGAATTATATATATATATATATATATATATATATATATATATATAGGTAACTATAGCTTTTTAAAAAAAAACCTTTGAATTTTTGATTTGCCAATAATCAAATCAATCTCGAAGGAAAAAAAGGTTTTAAAAAAAGAAAGAGCCAGGAACATGAAAGTCTGTCAAAAAAAATCGCACAGATACAGGTTTGAAGCCCAAAGAAAAAACCCGATACGAGTAAATAACTAACTAAAAAGAGCTCAATACAACCGTAGATAAACCTAGTGAGCCAGACAAACCTACCCAGGTTTCACCTAAGTGGATCGTCAGGGAGAGCTGGCTGGGTAGGTTTTGTCTGGCTCACTAGGTTTGACTATATATATATACATATATATGAAAAGTGTATATAAATATAAATAAATATAAGTATGTATAATTATTTATATATTATATATGAGTACTTATTAGATATATGCTCAATATCAAGAGATAGATAGATAAAACATATTTAATTTGATAGAAAAGTTTGTGATCCTTTGTTGACGATCGCTAAAGCGTGAAACCCAGGGTCACAAACTCACATCTATCAACTAAATATATATATATATATATATATATATATATATAATAAAATATAATAAAAAGGCTTAAACACTAATATTCCATGATCATAATTTATTCCATTGTATGTGTATATTTACCACTAATATTATCAATATATATATATATATATATATATATATATATATATATATATATATATAAATTGTACACAAAGGAAAAGGAAAGGAAAATAAAAAGATTTCAATGTTTTCAGGAAATTAAACGATGTCTCAAGTCCACTAAGTGTTATAGCCCATTCTAATACTGAGGGGAGATTTTTATTCCTAACTGGATGTGCAGGTGGTGTAATCAATAGTAGCACCTCAGAATGAGAAATCAGAGAGGAGTTCAAATTCTAGTTGAGTTTGTCACATTCACATAAATACCCCTGGGTAAGCTACAAATCAATCTAAAGCTGTGCATAGTATAGTAGGGATCATAGATGGAAAAATCATTGTGATTCTGAAAAAAAAATTAGTTAATGCAATATACACTGACAAAAAATAAAGAATTATTATTACAATCCATAATATATTTCAGAT